CCACCAAACAGCATGGCAAAGTTCAACAGATTGACACACAAGTTGTTCACAGAACGTGATTCGCTCATGCACTGAACTAGGACCACCCCTGATTTTATGGTAAATTTCATCATCTGGGTCACGGGAGAGGGGAAACATTTATGTGTCTTTTCCATTTAAATAGGCTGAGGCTAATGGCAATATATTCTAATTATCTAGAGTCATTTAATTAAACACATTCACACAAGAAATAGTGCACACACACTCACACATACACACACACACACACACACACACACACACACACACACACACACACACACACACACACGTACCTACACAGTCTTACACAAAATGATATAAGCATGTTGTATAATTTGTGGACATTATCTTTATATCAGTAAAAACAGAAGTATACGTCTACATAATAATTTAAGCCTAATTTAAAAATCAGCTGACCTTTAGAAATGTAATTCATATATTGAGTTAATATGCCGGTATGATAATCTATTACTCATGTTAGTATAATTGTAAGCTTATATCATTTGAGGTAAAAAGTAGGTCAATAAATAAATAGAACTATTGAACAGACAGCCTTAACTAAAGATGACTTTGCTGTATTAATTTCAGTTGAATGTTTGTACCACATTAATAGGTAAAAAAGTTATGAACGATATATCATTTATTTACATTTATGTCAAGGCATAGTGTTATCAACCTTTCCGTTTCCCTCATGCAACAAACCAACGCCCCAACTGTTTGCTAAAAACTTGCAACGTAGGTCAAAGTGAATCAAAACTTCTCAGAAGCAGCACTGCACCTAGCGATACAGTGGTGACAACTTGCAAAAGGATTATAATTATTTACTTTTTCCCAATCTATGGTGCAGAATCACACGGAAAAGTGCTGGTGCATTATTCACAAATGGTAGCAATTTGGATACAAGCACACGACACTTTGAAACAATTCAAGCGCTCATAGCATTGCATTGTTTTTTTTTGTTTTTTTTAACAACCACTTGATTTAGCCGCGCAAAAATGGATTAGATATAGCTGGGCTAAATAATGTCCCTTACGTTATGCCAAAGGTGCAGCACATTGAGGATGTGGTGTGTGGCCGTGGTGAGACACATTGGGATGGAAGTGCGGGAAAACCCTGACCAGTGCATGGGGAGCAAAGGAGCAGACGACTCTACGTGGTGGCTCAGCCAATGGCAAACAAACCGTACAGGAAAATGGCGGACACAGGAAATGACCCCCATTAACCCTCTGGTGCCCCATGGTAGAATGAGGTTTTAACCTCTGCATAAGTATCTCGAGCAATATTATGTTAATAGCTGGGCACGGGAGGGTTAATGGTACCCTGTACAGATGGGTGGGTCTTTGAGAGCTGAAATACAGAAAGCGGCTACAAAATATTCGGACAACATGCAGAGGCTAGAACAGAATAAGCAAGAACTACAGCAGAGAGAGAGGGACATGTACTGACACACAGTAACCCACAGCCGATGGGTGGGGCAAGGGAGGAGCTCGTCAACTCCCAATGTAGGGAGATTCGAACTCTTCCTTGTCACAGAACATCTCTACAAAATATGAAAATAATAACTATAACGTCTTAAGCTCTAACAGAAATAATGCACATCCAAAACTGCTAGGCAAAATAAGAACAGCTACACTCTTCAATGATGGGTGAGCAGGGGGTTGAAAACAGTTCTGCCCAAAAGTAAATAAAAGAAAAAAAATGGAGGAGGGGGGGGGGGGGATGATTTTTGAATAAAGTGCAGTAGGAGTTTCCCCATTATGAAAAATTTCTGTTCGCCATAGCTATGGTAAAATAGTTTAATGCCGTTGAGTCGTAAACGTTTCGATAAGCCATCTATAGACTTTGAGAACTCGATTTGAACACTATAATGTTACCTAAGAAGTATAACCTAACGGAGAGCAACGACAGTAAACAGTTAATGTACTTAACCGACCAAAGCACAAGAAGGTGGCAAAAAGATTTGAACCTAGGGCTATCAGGATCGCATTCCTGTATGCTACAAAATGAACCATATATTGGCCATCTATCATTAGTGTGGCACGTACTAGCACGTCCCCAGACATTCCTTCGTTCCATCAGACACACTTTGACAGATCGCTACCCTAGAGTTACAAAGTTCTGTACCTAGTTTTGAGAAATTTGACGACAATTTCGTTTTAAATTCACAATACTATTATGTCAAGCTTTTTCGGATGTAACTCCTTTAAAAATCTTGATAAAGACTTCGAATAATCTTACGATTTCGAGAGAGTAAATAAAACATTCGTTTTCTGAACCCTTGGTCTTTGTAACCAAAACGACCAAAAAATGTCGAATAGAACTGTGTAATTCTGAGGAAGCAAGATGCCACAAACTCCCTTCAACGACCCATGTCTTCCGGAAATGTCGTTCAGATTAAGTTATGACTTGTTACGCGTGCGACAGTCGGTGGTGAGAACTTTTATTGTATACCGTAGTTGTTTCTTTTTTTCAGCAGCAGTTCTTTCGTTTTTTAAATTCAGAATACTGGATAAGACACCTTGTTCATTCGGATATACCACTATAATGGCTGATTCGTGAACGGTCTAAGAATAAAACCTCTTGTACCTCGTTAGATAATTCGGTGAAATCAATAAATGTGATGCAGCGTTGTGGAATCAGGCTCTCGTCAAAATAATCAAAATGAGGAAACTTGCATTTTCCCGCAGGTTTGTGAATTTTTATCAAATTTCTGTTTTTTGGCTCGACACCTTTCATGTTCTTTAAAGAACTAATTTCTGTGTGGATTTGTCTGAAAAACGTTCATTAAAGGCACAAAAAATGCAAATGTTCAGTTATCATGGACTCTTCAGTTAATGAAATAACTAACTTTTGGTGGCCATTTTCTCACTAACGTTACATCGGAAAACAGGGGACCCCCACCTCCTTCTTTCGCAAATATCTCTAATTGTATTCAAGATAAATGGATGTTTTTTAAAATCCAAATAAAGACAAGTGAACAAGCTTTAAGATGATACCAATAATTCTACATGCTCAAAAATTGACGAGAGCCTGATTCCACCACGCTGCCTCACAAATAAAGTATCTCTTTATGATAACCGAATTCTGTTCTTTAGGCTACATTTCAGTTTTAACTTTGCAGACGTATCGGTGAATGCATAGTACTGATTATAAAAAATTCACAGCTATTTGATGAATAAATTACACCTAGCCTATGTTTTTCTTTACCAATATTATTTCTTCAAGGCTTTCAAATTATGGACCAATGTTTCTCGGCTGTCCTATTGCAGCATAACGAAGAACCCCACCGAATCCTTAACCAAAACTAAAGGAAAGCTAAGCAGAATGTTGGCACACAGACATGACAGTGGCATTCGAAAATCCTTATTTATCGCGAAGTACCTCTACCCCAAAGTCGTTAATGAAAGCAGTGAGAAAGCAGTTAGTCAGCGTGTGTGTGTTTACGTTCAAAGTGCTTCATGAGAGATTTTGTGCTGAATTAAGAACCGCAACAGTGCAGAAAAGTGGGGGGAAGGTGGGGGAAGGGGGATAATATACACTTAGACGTCCAAAACTGTAGTAGTGATGACATATCTTACGCCCTCAACCCCCCCCCCCCCCCCAATCTAAGTCCATCTATTTCGTACACAAATCGAGAACATTAGCCCTAGTACGTCTTGAGAACACTTGCACTAAACAACAGAACTGAATTCTGCTGCGCTTTATAAAGTCAAAAGGGATAGTGGATTCTGTGTTCCATCAGGATATGTGTATTTCTTTTAAGAGTATTGTTTCTCTCAATTTTTTTTCTTCTCTCACAACTCTCTTCCACCTCTATCCACACCAACCGTATCATTTTGGTGTGGGGGGTGGGGTGGGGGGTGTTCTTCCACTTTTTCTGTTCTAGCCAGCCCTGGCCGAATGGGATACAACATCCCAACAGAAAGACGGAGGAGATTCTCTGGAACAAAAACTCCCAAGTCGGGAGTCGAACCCATGCCGTCTGCGCTTAGTGGACACGACCAAAGCCTAGCCACAGAGGCAGGGTAAGTACTGGCGAACAGCTTGGAGATCTCGCCATCCAACCACAGTGGTCACTCTAGTGTTGTCCAAGGACAAATGTTCTTGCAGGCCATAATAGGAACAGACTTCACAGGCTGCGATCTGAGAGCAACTAACGTTCTCTTAAGTCAAACAATAATAGTATCTATTGTTGTAGCTCTAAACTGTAGTGGGAGAAATGAGAGGTTGTGTGTGGCTCGGCATAAGGCTCAAACATTCAACACTCATTCGCGATGACGCATGCACGAGCAACAGGGAATTGCCAAACTAAAATCTCTGCGGTTAAAATTTAGACACTATGAAATTAAGCACCCTTCTCCCCCACCCAAATAAAGGAAAAATCCTACAGACCTATTAGAGCAGGCTCATAGCAGTTCTCGGGGGCTTGTTGCCTCAATAGGCTAAACCTTCTCTCCAAACAATTCAGTTTCTTTTTGTCAATAAAGACAATGATCTCCAAAAAGCATAACATCATAATAATATAAGCATTCGCAGATTACTTGGTTCACGACTCGGGGTTTGGAGAGCAATCTTAGGGTCGTTTTCCAAATACTCACAAAAGCAACGTATAGTGTCGAATTTGAAAGTGCAAAATAAACTAAATTAATGAAGACATGGCTATTCCAATAAATGGAAGGTTTTCAATGACTGATCAGATGTGATCTTTAGTTTAATATGGTAAAGATTAATCAATTGAAATCAACTTCTAAGAACTGCTATGAGCCGGGTCACGTGAACTCACGTTTGTCTAAGACACAGGGAGAAGCCGAGCCGTCAAACATTGAAAGCAAAAAAAAAAAAGAAACGGGAAAACCCGAAATGTCGAGAGAACAGCCAAGACGGGAAATGATAAAGTGTGCACAAAACGGATGACAATGCGGGTATTTTTGGAGCATCGTCACGTGGTTTCGCTCATTCATGTGCTGTGTTCGTGACTTACTACGGAAGGGCATCAACTCTTGCAGTGCACCACCATGAGCTGAGAAAAACATGACCGTTTGATGACGTAATACAACATCCGGCACAGAAAACATAATGGCATTTCGTGGGAGACTGACATAGAAGTGACTACAACAGAGGGACGGTAGAACAGTAGTTGATAGGACATCTCTTTCTAGCATATTATTATCTCCAAGTCGTGTAAGACTTCAGACTTCAAAATTATAATTTCAAAATGACCACCTTTATACTAATTAAAGATTCCAAAAAATAATACTCATTTTTAAAGGGTTCTCTGTCTGCTCTGTGTTCAATTCTAAGTCGATCTCTCTTTCCATACGAGAAATAAGGGCAGAAAGAAATTGCCAGATGTGTATATTCTGCAAAACATTGCTGTAATTTAAACGTTTTTTTTACAAACACAGTTTAGCACGCACATAGCGAAAAGGTTTTCAAGTCCCCCCTTTATTTAAAGACACCAACATAGCAAAATTCGTTCATAACGAAAATAATATTTCCGTGTCCGCTAATATCAGTACATGCGTGCAAGACTGTATAACAATATTCTTCCCGAACGTTCCCTAGCAGGCCAGGACTTAGTGGTGGTTTTGTTGTTACAATCTGGCAACGTCTCTCTTTGGCTGGAGACAGGGAATGAGCCACAAAATGTGTATGTGTGTGTGTGCGTTTTTGGGTTTGTGTATGTTAGTGTGTATGTGTGTGTTTGTGTGTGTGATAGAGATAAGAAGAGGTTGGGGGGGGGGGGGAGACATTAGACAAACAGACAAAAATACATATACGCATACTTATGCACACATAAGGAGACACACACACACACAGAGAGAGGGAGAGAGAGAGAGAGAGGGGGGGGGAGAGGGGGAGAGAGGGAGAGAGAGGGAGAGAGAGGGAGAGAGAGAGTAGAGAGAGTAGAGAGAGAGAGAGAGAGAGAGAGAGAGAGAGAGAGAGAAAGAGAGAGAGAGAGAGAGAGAGAAAGGGGGTGGGGATTTCCTATTCCAAAACACTTGAGTAAGGACTTTGAGGTCAGAATCCTCCAGAGTGTATCCTTCCCCCCCGATCCCTTGTAGCCTTGTTCTGTTACGTCACTGAAACTCAACTTCATGCACACTTCTAACAGATCGATAACATGCCCATAAATGTTGGTAAAATACCCAAAATACTCAAATCGCACTTTCCTGCACTTCTACTGGAAACATGTTTTAGAGAAAGAAAAGGCAGGTGATGTACTTTGTCGCAACCTGAAAAAATGGTGCTGTGAAACTCACACGCGAAGAAGCTAAAAAAAAAAAGCATAGCTCATAAAACATTTCTTTGAACTTTCGGTTCTAGCTAGCCAAAACATTATAATTACTTACACTTTTTAAAACGTACACATAACGTAATTTGTCTTCATTTCTTTCTTTCTTTCTTTGAAAAATATACATACTGTTTGTAAGAAAGCGATGTTTTAAAATTATTTTGTAGACAGAATATTACATCATTTTCCCCTGAAAGCTTTTCTATGGCAGCATTACGTTTTCCAATGTAAAAAATTGCACCTAACGAGCTAGTTTCTCAATCAATCACTTAACGCATAACCCAGACAGACAGATATGTCTGAGGCGTCATCTATTATCCTTTAACCCTTTCAGGACGTGGCGGACACAACGTATGTCCGATCAACAGCAAACCGAAGGCAATGTTGCGCCACACTTTGATATATCCTACACAAGTCAGAAACACACAATTACTGATAGCAAGGCATGCACGTTATTGCATTCCTTGCACAGTATCAGACCCCCCCCCCCACACACACACCCAAAAAAAACCAAGAGCAACCCCCCCCCCCCGCCACCCCTCAGAACTGAAACATCTATATTATACGTTAAAGATTTATCTTTTCTTTTTTAAAATGTCTTTTTTAAAGTGTTGTCAAATAAGCAAAAGACTCCTCCTTAAAGAGCTAAGGATGTAAATTTTTCCAGTCCATCTTTTTCAGCTATAGTTTCAAGATTGCAGACGTTGTCATACACACGGTGATACCAACAAAATGAAGGTGAAAAAAAATGGTGATATTTCTATTTTACCTGTCAGGTACCCGTAGCCCCCTTGAAGAACATAAAGTACAGAGTAAAGTACTGAATACATGTGTGTTATGTAATTTTAGGGTAAAGTACTGAGTACATAACTGTGTGTTATGGAACTTCATAATATATTTTGTTAGAATTTATTAGGGTATAAATTTAATCCCTCTTCCAACGCTTGGGGAGTACTCAAAAGGCTGGACCTTTGAATTTGACTTTCTTCGTCGATACTACTAAGCGTATGGAAATCTTGATAAATTTCCAATCATTCCTCATTCGAGAACACTGACTTAATTGAGGATTTAAACTGGCTCGCTTTTCAAGGCCCTAGACAAATCTATTGCTCAGTGAGTTATCTGTGAGCCCAAGTCCTACATCTCTGCTTCCTAAACGTGTGACATGAGACCTCAGTATTACATAAATTCCTCAATATTGCATTTACTAAAAAAGTGTAAAAAGGCATGGAAATATCAACTTCAGTCTCTCTTGCCCCCTCCCCTCTCTCTTTCCCCTGTCTCTCCCCTCCCTCTTTCTCTCACTCTCTCTCTCTCTCTCTCTCTCTCTCTCTCTCTCTCTCTCTCTCTGTGTGTGTGTGTGTGTGTGTGTGTGTGTGTGTGAGAGAGAGAGAGAGAGAGAGAGAGAGAGAGAGAGAGAGAGAGAGAGAGAGAGAGAGAGAATGCGTGCATGTTACGCTTTGAAGGCTGGGTGGAGGGATGAAGACAAAGAGGAAGACCAAGACAACAAAGGGAACACAACCAAAACGATACACTGACAAAGAGTCATTGCTAAAGGACAATTTGACAGCTGATGGGTACAAGATTGGGAAGGGTGGAGAGAAAAAAGAAGGGCAAGGGAGGGGGGAGGGTGGCTGCCTCCAGTAAGCTACGCCAAGAAGAAGAGATGCTGAAAAGAACGAGCAGTGGTCCGTCCGAATTAATACCTTGTCTATTCATACATCTCTTGTCTATTCCTACATCTCTTGTCTATTCACACAACAGGAATGACGGTTCATCTCTAGTCTGTCCCTCCGACTCAAATATGGTCGATCAATTTTATATCATTATTTCAGATTGGAAGAAACTCAGTCTTAATTCAAAAGGACCACTGTATTAATGAGAATGGTATATGGGTGCATGCATGCAAAAGTACTATTGCACATACTGCTGGAAATACAAGCAGTCCATAGACACAATATCAGATAGATAGAAAGATAGATAGATAGATAGATAGATAGATAGATAGATAGATAGATAGATAGATAGATAGATAGATAGACAGATAGATAGATAGATAGAACAGGGAGTGAGGCGGGTGTAAGAAAGAAAAAGAGAGAGAGAGAGAAGAGAGAGAGAGAGAGAGGGGGGGGGGGGGAGAGAGAGAGAGAGAGAGAGAGAGAGAGAGAGAGAGAGAGAGGGAGAGGAGCAGAAGGATAGCAGTCGAACCCTAAAAGAGAAGAGTTTTACAAAATAATGTTGACAAGAATATTACGTGTCAGGTTAGTTTGAGTACACGAGAGGAGCAGACAGAAGTCGGCAGACGGCAGAAAAGCAGAAACAGAAGCCAGCAGATGTCGTCAATTGGTGCTGTATAGTGCGAACAGGAACCATAATAACAATGACAATAACAATAATACAGGAGAGTCTCATAGAAGACGACGGCAAGTCAAAGGTTTACTGCGACCGACAACACACTTCTGAAAGGAAATGACGTCATCAGTAATTGTTTATGAGAACAACAAAAACCACTTCGACAACATAATCATGGGCACCAATACAGTGACGTAGACAATATGGCGGTGGTGCCAACAGGCACCGTGAGGGATTAGTTAGACAGTGCTGAACAGCGAAGTGCTGGCCACAATACGAAAGACACGACGTAAAGACAGAGCGAAAGAAACGGCGGGAAGAAGGGAAGAAGAAGAAGAAGCAAACGGCTGGTGGACGTTGACGACAGCCATTAGCAAGCAGACGAACACTAGCTGGCAGATGGACAGACAAGCAGAAACATATCCTTGCACATACGGAGTATAACGGGAAAGGCTAACAGGTCAGGAGATGAAGTAACAACGACAAATACCAACGCTAGAGACATTGTTATTGTTACACACATGAGCAACATCTCCGACAACAGCGCCCACGATAATGACCAGAACGACAATGATAACGACGATAACAATGACGACGAATGTGAGTGGCTGAGACTGTTGGATTAGATAGACGAGTACCGAGTACATTAGAAAACATGGAACAGAAAGCAGTCGCGAGATAGCGTTGCAAGAGGAAAGGTTGCAACAGGAAGGGGGGTGGGGGTGGTTGAGATGGGAGAAACGGGGAAAGTTGGAAAGTGTGAGGAGGGGAAGGGGGGTGAGGGATGGGAAAGGGGGGTGTCTGCCGTCCACATCAGAATGAACTGTCAAGCTGCTGGCAGTTGCAACAGGGCATTATATATTATATTCATGGGCATGTTCAAACTAACATGTTTAAGTCTTGTCTTGTGTAGTAAAATTGATAGCAAGACACGGATGGGTGATGAGGGAAGATAAGGCTCATGTTGTTGTTTTTAAATCATCCGAGCAAAGGAATGAACTAAGAACCACGACCTCCGATGTCTGGCGCTTAGTGATGACAATGATGAGTCTGAGAAACTCTTATACATTTTCTTTGTGTTGAAACGTAGGTCAAAGCCTTTTGTGTTTTAGGTAGGCTGAGGTAGTTAAAACCCTCGCTGAGCTGTGTAAAGTACTGAGCATGTTGTTGTTGCTGTTCCTGCTGCTGCTGTTTTTGTAGCTGTTTTTCTTGTTGCCGCTGCTGCTACTTCAGTGCACATTCACGAGGTTAATCAAGTGGAAGGGAGTTGGAAGCTTTGCCACCACGATGAAGGCACAAGATAGAGAGACGGTGCGAAGGAGGAGGAATACAGCGGAGGAGGCTCCAGGCGAATGATCTCTGGTCTCCATGGAAAACACAACTAGAGGGCCGGCGTACGGGAAACTGCTCACAATAATGAAATAGCAGCAGCAGGAGAAAGGGGGGAGAGTTTACAGAAGCCGCTAACAAACAGCACACGTTATCCACAAATGTCGCCACTGGAGGTACAGAAGGACGCATGAAGTGTGAGGACATAGGTCTAGAGCTGACGTCATCTTCACAATCAAGTGATGTGTGGTCAAGGTTCAAGCATCACAGGCATAAAGATGGACAGACACACGCAATATGTTATAGACACATGGACACGTATATAATATACATACATACACACAGACGAACACCCTGGTTGGAGATAAGGCGATAACAAAAGGATGGTCCTAATACAGACCTAGAGGACGTCCTAACTATTGCGAATTATAACCAAGACTGGAAGGAAATATGGGGAAACAACAACAGAACTACTGGAAACTGATGGCGAGGGGGAGGGGGAACTAGGGAGTGGGATGGGGAGATGGGAGAAAGGAGATGGGAGATGGTGGGGATGGGGGGGGTGGAGTGTAAGGGGAGGGGGTGAAGGA